GTCGATCATTCTTATACGAGCATGAAGAGTGCGGGATCAAGCTGCAGGAAGCTGCAGGGCTGGCATGGTATATCTTGCAATAATTGATCATCCTTGATGATAGCCCTGTCCGATTCGGTAGTGATTGATGGCTTCACTCATACCTAATGGTGGAGGTCGCGATAACAAACGGCTCACTATCTCCTCAGTTGGAGTAATGTTATCAATTTGGAGTAAGTGACATCCCTGCTATTTCGATTATGCAAGGTGATTGATAGGGAATTGGCTTAGTGCTTGATATCAATGTACTGTTATAGCAGCAGTGTGAATCAGTGCTGGCATGCATGTTCAAGGAGTTGTTGAGCCGGTCAAACAGTTTGAGTAAATCAGGTAACTTATGACCCACCCCTCTTTAGCTTTAGCTTCCGCACCAGATGCAATTCCGAAGCTTGTGGGCAGCGGTCGGGACGGCCCAGGATGTCTCGACAGGAACACATGTCACATTTACTTAAGTGCTGTACCGTGCAATCTACGAGAAAGCCATCGTTGGGTCAAGCTTTCGCCGACAATGATCAATTTCGCGCCAATTGTCTATCAGCAACCTGGTTGGAGTCCTCTTACCCCAACCGCGATAAGGCCCTGTGGCTTGGCAGTTGGAGCAATCTTCTGCTTCTTCCAACCGTTTCCCCGCCTCGAATGAATTATATTCCTCGTTTAACATGACTGCAAGGGTTAAGCAAGATTGTGATCTGTTGTTGTTGGACTGTGTTGTTTGCGAGAAAGCTTACTGAGATCACCACTCACCATGTCGGTTCTATTCACCTCCATCTCGCCGTACGTACATCACCGAACCACCATCTAACCTCGGACTTCGCTTGCTGAAAAGACCAAACAGAGATAACCCAGTCAAAAAGGAAGATGCAAACCAGCTTCTCCAGAGACTCGGTCTCTCCGTCAGCCCAGAGGAGGAGGACGACTTTCACACGCTCCTGGCCGCCGTGCACGACTGTGCAGAAACGGTCTCCAACCTCCAGGATTACCAGCCCGTCCCCGATCTCGAACGATACCCTCGACAGAACGTTCGAAGACCTTCTTCCGAAGAGCAGGTCTTCGGCCAGGCATGGGCACATAAGTTCTTGATTAAAGGCAACCCCGATGGAGGGCCCTTGGCCGGCAAAACCATCAGTTTGAAAGACACGATTGCGGTCGCAGGCGTGCCCCAGCTGCTTGGAAGCGATATCATCCCCTCCTGGACCCCTGTCACGGACGCCACGGTGGTGACTCGGGCACTGGCTGCGGGGGCTGATATCCATGGAACGTCGACCTGCGAGAATTATTGCCACTCGACCTCGTCGTACACGAGTGCGCAGGGGATCGTCGAGAACCCTTTTGCCGAGGGTTATTCGTCGGGTGGGAGCACCTCGGGCGGGGCGGCGCTGGTCGCAGCCGGGCTGGTCGATATCACTATCGGTGGAGATCAGGGGGGCAGTATTCGTGTGCCCTCGTCTTTCTGTGGCTGTACGTGTATTCAGTCATGGGCTTCTGAGCTTCTATTGATGTGTGCTGACCTGCGATACAGGCGTGGGACTTAAACCGACATACGGCCTTATTCCGTACACCGGCATCGCCAGCGGAGACGCGATTAACGACCACGCCGGCCCTATTGCTCGAAGCACGCTGGATGTCGCCTTGTGTCTGGACGCAATCAGCGGCTATGACGGAATCGACGACCGATGCCTGGGCAGCCCGCAGCCCGGCTCGACCGCCTACGCGACAGCGCTACAGACCGAAGAAACCCGGGGGCGCCTCAACGGCGTCCGCGTGGGATACCTGAAGGAAGGGTTCGAGCACGCCACCGTCGACCCGGCAGTCAAACAAGCCGTGTTGAACGCCGTCCAGAAGCTCGCGGAGCTGGGCGCGGTCGTCGAGGAGGTGTCGGTGCCGGACCACTACCACGGCCCGGCCATCTGGACCATCCAGCAGCGGATCTCGGGCTCGATGACGCTGCTGGGCCAGGCGCACGGCCGACGCGGCCTGCAACTGACCGAGATGGAGCGCGAGCGGCTCCCCTGGACGCCCGAGGGCTTCCGGCGCGCGTTCCCCAGCACCAAGAACGTGATCATCAACGGCCTGTATCTCACCTCCCAGTTCCCCGATCTGTACGGCAAGACGGTCAACATCGGTCGACGGCTGCGGGACCGCTACGAGGAGGTTTTCGGTCGATATGATGTCGTGGTAATGCCGACCACGCCGATTGTCGCCCCCCGCCATGGCTCCCCGCGCGACCTGCCGGTCGAGGCGCTCCGGCCTAGCATGGGCCTCACGATCAATACGGCGATCTTCGATGTCACGGGCCATCCTGCTATGTCGATACCAGTGGGTCGTGCGGCTGCTAAGGATAATTCTGAGGTTCAGTTGCCGGTGGGGATGCAGATTGTCGGCGGGCTGTGGCAGGAGGCTAAGGTGCTTCGGGTGGGGCATGCTTGGGAGCAGCATTTCGATTGGAAGAGTCAAGGGGGAACGAGGTGATGTCGATGATACATTCTAGAACAAAATCGCAAGTACAGTACATATTTCATCAAGTCATATCATCATTGGACATAGCATAACATTTCATGACCTTGATCTCGTCATATTCCTGCCGTCCCACCACGAGTAGCAACAGGTTCGTTAATCGTTATTGGGTATAGCTTTAAGCTTTCAGCCTTTCACGACTTTTAGTTGATAATATACCCTCCATCCACCACAAGCGCATGTCCTTGTACGAAGGACGCAAAGCTCGAGCAGAGGAAGAGCACTGCATCAGCCACCTCCTCGGGCTTGCCCATCCGCTTCATGGGCGCGATGTCCACGGCCGGCCGGAGTCGTTCCCGGACTTCCTCGCTGGATGTGGTCATGGGAGTCTCGATCACGCCGGGACACACGCAGTTGACCCTGATGCCCTCCCGCGCGTAGTCAATGGCGTCGGAACGGGTCATCGCGATAATGGCCGCCTTGGAAGCACAGTACGCCGCTGCAATCCCCCATTCAAAGGAAAGGAATTAGCGTTCCATCACGCAACAACTCCGCGCTTTCAAAATTGGGCGGGGGGAAGGAAGAACTTACGCGCCCCAGGACGTCCCACGATGCCCAGCTGGCTGGCAATATTGACGACCGCCCCGCGCGGGCCCTCGCGCGCCGCCGCCGCCGCCGCCGCCGCCGGATCATCCTGGCCGGGCAGGGGGTCCTGCGCGACCATCTGCCTCAGCTCCGCGCGGGAACACAGCCACGAGCCCCGGTAGTTGATGTTGGTGATGCGGTCGAAGATCTCAATCGAGGTCTCGGTCGAGCGCAGCGCGTCGCCTAGTACGCCGGCGCAGTTGACTGCGTAGTCGAGGCGGCCGAACTCCGACACCACCGCGCCGATGAAGGATTCCACGAATTTTTCGTTGGAGATGTCGCCGGCTTGGGCGAGGAGGCGGACGGTGGGGGATGTCGCGAGGATGGCTTCCTGGGTGTCGTTCAGTGAGCTCGGGTTCAGGTCCGTGATGGCGATGCGAGCGCATCCCGCGGCGGCGAAGCTCTTTGCGACGGCTGCGCCGATGCCTGTGGGTTCTTGGGTAAGCTGGCTTGTAGGAAGGATCTTTGGGGAGGTGTGTTCTGTTTACCAGTTCCGCCGGCTCCGGTGATGACGGCGACACCGGGGAAGGTATATGTTCGTGGCATGGTTGGTTGAGTGGCCGGCGATACAAATAGCACGGTTCGAAGAGTGTGGAGGGGCAAGTGAGTGAGGGAGTGAGTGAGCGAGCTGTGAGACGATGTAGCAATTTGTTTATGGTCCCCCTCGTCCCCTCGGTATCACCCTGACATCATCTATATACATAGATCGAATGGGAGGGCAGTTGGAGTCTTCTTCCCTGTCGAGTCTTATCGCCGACTCCTCGGTGGAGACGAAAGTGGCGGCGTTGGGGGAAGCGGCGGGTTCGGCAATCGTTGGAGTCGGTCGCTTTGCCTCTTGCGGTTGGATTTTCTCCTCTTTTTGCGAGTCTCGCACTCCTTCCCCCTCCATCTTTTTGCTGCTCCCCCTGCCTTTCTGCTCTCGCCCGTGCTTCTCCAATTTCCCAAATTGGAGAGCTAGCTAGCTCTGGTAATCTCATTACTCGGGCGTACACATCACATCCAACTCGCGCGCGCCTCCAAATGTCTTGATGCAGTCTCAGCCTCCCTCACAGCCTGTTCGGGGCAATCGTCGCTCGACTGCTGGTGCCAAATCTCGGGTCTGCGTCCACTGTGGCCGCAGCTTCCGCCGTACCGAGCATTTGGAGCGCCACGTTCGCACTCGTATGTTGCCTACTTCGTGCTCCCCCCCAGTCGCAATTGCGATTGCGATTGCAAGTGCAAGTGCAATTGTGTGACAATGCGACATGTCTTAGCGTCGAAAGCCCTGCAAGGATCGTGATGTTGCATAATGGCTAACCCCCAATCTTATCCGCGTGTGCAGATACCAAAGAAAAACCGTATATCTGCTTTTGTGGGGCAGCCTTCACTCGCCGGGATTTGTTGAAGCGACACACCAACATCGCGCATCCTGGCAATGGCTTGGTATCGCCCAGTTCACAGCCTGAGACGGAGAGTGTAGAACCACAATCTCACCCGCGAGCATCCGAGCCCGCTCCAGTACCACCAGTACCAGTTCCAGTTTCAGTTCCAGCTGCAGCTGCAGCTGCAGCGCCGCCAGGGTTCATCGTCCCGCCGCCGACATCGCGCCCGGATGCACCTCTCTCAGTGCCCCCGAATGTGGAACAATGGACCGGACCTCCACCACCGCCACCTCAACAACCTCCACGGGAGTCATATATCACGCCAGATCGAGCGCCCGTGCTCGAGCCTGTGAACCACGCTCCTCCAAGTATACCGCCGCACAGCGGCGTGCTTGGTCACGATGCGGAGGTTCTCGAGGCGGCCCAGCTCTTGCTTCCTGGAAATTACCGACATACTCCAGCTCCAGGTAAGGACTCGCCGCCTGGGGAACCAGCTTCACGGAGTCTGATATTAATTGAGAACTAGCCCAACCTATGTCATACCTTCCGGAAGAATTGAACCACTTCCAAGACTTCACCCATTTCCTCGACTCCATTGGACTGCCATCCGAATGGGTCCCCGCTTTTGGAGAAGTGCCTCAGATGCACAATCCAGTGCCGACAACTACTGTTCCAGACATGGAACGGAACCATACTCTCCAACAGGATGCTCCGCGTCGGAGTATCCCTGAGAGGTCTTCTCGGGGAGATTCGCCCTTCCGATCATGGCTTCCATCGGTGCCGCCTGAAGATCAGAGCCTTGGCTCGGTTCACGATTATGGTATGTCAACGACTCAAGGGCCGGTACGCGAGCTGTGATCCTGACGTGAATTCACAGAGCCGCCGCAGAGTGCCAGGAGTAGTTCTTCCTTGAAGGTGACAGAGGAGCAGAGACAGCGTTTGGCTGCTGCGCTGGAGGAGTTTCGCTATCTGATCCCAGATTTCGTCCTGCCGTCGCGCCATACACTGACCAGATATCTGACGTCGTTCTTTGACGGCTTCCATACACATCTACCTTTCATGCATGCCCCGACGTTCCGGATTAATGACCGTGCGCCGGAGCTCGTGCTGGCTTTCATGACCCTCGGCGCCCAGTACCGGTTTGAACACCGCAATGCAGAACGGCTCTTTCATGCTTCCAAGGAGATTGTACTCTGCAGACTCTCGAAAGAGTCTCATGGGGTGCCATATAACACCATCGTTCAAATCCCCTTGAATCACATCCGCGATCCTGCACTGCCAAGCCAAGCATCCCCTCTTCCACCTGCCGAGTTCGCTACAGGAATGAGTGCGTGGAGGCAACTCGAAACCATCCGCACTTTGCTAGCCCTCATGGGATACTCCACCTGGGAGAAGGCTGAGCTCGTTCAAGAGGCATTCAGTCTGCAGAATCTGCTTGTCCGATGTCTTCGGGAATTTGGTCTGGCCGAAAACATCATCGCTGCTCCCAGACACGGCCCATTGCAATGGCACGAGTGGGCTGAGGAGGAATCCATCCGACGCACTCGCTTTATCTCCTTCTGTTTTGTTCACATCCATAGCATAGCCTATAACATCTACCCGGTACTGCGCAGCAGTGAGGTTCACTTGCGCCTCCCGTGTTCTACCAAAGAATGGAACGCAGCGACGGCTCACGAATGGGAAGCTGCGCAGAAGGAAGTCGGCTCCCAGCAGCTGTTCTTCCAGGACGCACTGGCCTTGTTGCTGCAACCAGCACGAAATCCAGTGCCGCTGGAGCCGATTCCCGCGCCCCTCGGCAACTACATCCTTCTTCACGGTCTTCTACAACGCATACACCTCGTGAGCGAGCTCTCCATACCAAATGGGGACCATTCATTTTCTCTCCCAACAGAGGAATTGAACAAACTCGAGTATGTTCATGGTCTGCATCTTAGATGACATTGAGAGGCCCGAAAGTTCATATCAGGTTTACTGACCGCGAATCTCGTCACAGGAGAGCTCTACGAACCTGGACATCAGTTTGGCAACAAGCACCCGAATCGAGCCTCGACCCTCATAACGAGAACGGTCCCATCCCTTTCACATCTAGCTCATTTTTAGGTCTAGCGTACGTTCGCTTGTCGCTGAACTTAGGGGCTTATCGTCAACTCGAAACGCGAGATCCATATCGCATCGCTGCGGCGCTGCATCGGTCGCCCCGCCCTAGCCGGAGCTACCAATTGACACCTGCGCTCATCTATGCGGCACACGCCTTGAGCGTGCCAGTACGACTGGGCATTGACCACGTGGCCCGCAGTCAAGCTTTCTTCTGGAGCGTTCGTCATTCAATTGCCAGCCTTGAATGTGCGGTCTTGCTCAGCAAATGGCTGCTGTCGCTGGCGGAAACCGGCGGTACTCAGAGTTTGAGCAGTACGGGCCCAGCTATAACCCAGAATAATCTTGTACCTTACGTGTACTGACATCCAACTCAAATAGGTAACGAAAGCCGCATACTGCATTGGACACGCTGTATCGTCCAAGAGGCTTATGATTCCTTGGACCCAGATAAAGACGAGACTTTTCCGGGTCTTGACCCTACCAGTCTCGGCCTGGCAGTCATACAGCTGTGGGCTCGTCTGTTTCGGAAGAATACACAGTGGCCCTTCATCAATGTGATGGGCGAGAGCTTGGAGCAATACTTGGACCTGATTCGACCGGAGTAATCGCTTGCATAGGATTTTGAACGGATCCGACGGAAGATTAATACCATCCCCAACACAATTGAGCGCGAGCGCAGATTCCAGAGATAGCATTGACACCGGAACCAGCGTTGCCTGTTCACATGAAGAATGGTGTCTTGGTGAACAAGTTGTGCACCACCTTCAATGTGGGCATCTACATTATGAGACTAGTTCTAAAAATACTCAGTGCCGGAAGTACCGATATGCATATCCTGACTCCCCTAATAGGAAGAATGGACAGCTCGGCTTGCCCAGGACTTGACTACCGGATGATCTCATACAGTTGTACAGAACCGGCCGGAGCAAATGAATGCATCGGAAATGAAGTCATGTCAACGAAAGCTTCCCTTCTTCGAAGAGGGGTACTAGTTCCTCCCGGCATAAATCACCTTCCGCCGGAGCTACTCGGAATTTATAGACAAGAGGATAATTCCGGACCTAGGCAGCAAAAGTGCTTGGTCTTGGTCGTGGTCTTAACTTTAATTCACAAAAGTCAGAGTGCTGATAATTAAGAAATAAGATTACAGGAATAGGCCACAGATTTGCCGTTCCACCCAATCACTATCCAAACTTTCTCGTTCTACGATCATCGCCTTGATCCGATATAACGGTGATCCCGGGGAATAGCATTGACTTAGGCGAAGTTGATCGGATGTAGTACCTTCCACTTTCTTAGAAGAGAGATCTCTTCGCCCAGCTGGGAGAAGGAGTCGCTGAAGCGGAAAGCGAAGCCGAGCTCGCAGCCGCAGCACTGGCAGACCCGTTGGGAGCCAGGGTGGCGCCGAGGGGACCGATGAACAAGGTCTGGCCGCAGGGTGCGGGAGGCGCTGAGACACAGCTGCCGAGGTAGCGGCCCAGCTTGCCCTTCTGGCTACCGGAGGACAGCACATAGGCCGGGCTATAGGCGGGGACCAGACCGGAGCTGTTGGCCGGGAATAGGATGTCCTCCTGGTTGCTGGCCAGGTAGTAGGCGTGCGCGGTGTGCTCAGCTGCCAGACGGGCCCACAGGAAGGACACCTCAGGAGCCTGGGTGTAGCCAGCCAGGGCGATGTAAGCGCCCGCGACGGTCGACTCGAGGGTCAAGGCATTCTCGACAAAGCTCTCGGCGCTGCTGGCATTGGGGAAGGTGAAGCTGCAGTTGGGAGCCGTGAAGCCGGAAATCCTAGACCCGAGCTGCTGGGCGGCACGCGTCCCCAGGCGGTTCAGGCGCTGGATCCCCTGGAAGTTGGGGTAGTACTCGGCGTCGGAGTCGTTGGTTGCGCTCTGCAGGAAGGTCTGGTTGAGCGGGACCTGGTTGTAGTAGCGGTCCAGGAAGTACGAGAGCGCCCAGCCGTACTCGACGACCATAGCATCCGAGGAAGAGGGCGAGCAGCTCGAGTTGCTCTGTGCCAGAGCTACTCCGGCGAGGAGCAGCTGGCCAATAGTCGCGATGAAGCGCATGGTTCGATGGGTGTAAACTGTGGGGGAGGAAGGTCTTTTCTTGCCGATCTGTTCTAAACTCGAGCAGTGTTGGAGCGACGGGTGGATGTCTGGTAGAAAGAGGGAACTGCCCGTGAGATATACTTATATGTGGTCGGTGGGTAGCTGCGCGGTTCCGCCAGCGAAACAAGGTTTCCAGCACCGTTCGCCGAAGTCTCGAATGTCGTCAAAACCCGCAAGCAGATGCAACGATATGATGATGGGTGTGGAACCCTCATGCCTCCGAGCATGCACGACGCGCGGTCATCCAAGCATCGAAGCGGAATGGGCTTCCCTCCACTGGATTTGCATCATGACATTTCCCGTTTCCCCGCCGCCGGGCATTTCCGTAAGGGGGGTGGAGGTTTGGGCGGGGTGGGTATCTCAACATCATCTGGCCTGGTTTAGAGGTGGTGATAGGAGGGAAACGGGGGCGACATTCCCAACCAGCCCCCGTGCTCTAGCGAACTGGTGTTCTTCCAGGGTTCGACGGGAGGTTGTCAAAGTTTGTCTTTGACTTGTGGTTGGGTGTGAGATCATCGAAAGAACATCTATAGGATTGACAGTAATAAATGAAAAGATTTCACCGGACCCTAACGGAAGTAGGAACCATCCGGGAGATGGGCTGCTGTCAGAATGGGAGTTTTGCACGGTGGATGGTGATATCATCCGTCCGGAACGGATGGGAAAGGTCGAAGTCGAGAGCGTAATTGCACTGTTGCCGTGCAGTACGGTGCATTCTAGGCTGAGAGATTGTTTGACTGGGGCTGTGCCCGCCCCTGCTCTCTTACTTTTCGGTTGCACGATAGTTACTGCATTAGAGCAAGAGTGGTAGAACAGCAGCGTTGATAGTCCAGGATCTGCAGCTCCTGTCAGTCTGCGTGATCGTCCACCTGAGCCCTGGGCTCCATATCCTTCCGGATCGTCCGGGGGGGGGGATTTTAGGTCTGCAGAGGAGAGTTTAAGGTGTCTGCGCTAGGCTGGTTCGGGTTAGGGTGATATTCTTGGCCCCCCCGGGGAGGAGATAAGTCACGCGCTCCCGGGGGGTCCGATGCCATTTTCCACCAGATTGAGCTAACCTTAATGGAGTCTTCAGAAAGCTGAGGCATACCACGATTGCCCAAAGAGGTAGATCCTATACCACATGTCAGGTAGACTCACCTAGCAAAGGGCTAGCGATATTCCTCGTCGCCCGCAAAAAAACAATCCGAAGGCATTCGCGAGCTGTATTTTGTGTATAGATTGAAGCTTACACCGCACTTCCTCGAAAATAAGCATTCTAGAAGTTGACGGCGAAGGTTTCTTGAGACGTTGTTCTACTGTGCCTCTTGTGCGGGATTTGGCTTTTCTGATGGGACCGGCCTCTTTCACCAGCGTGTAAAAGTTCCTACATTATATAAGAAGATTGTCGATGGGGCTATACAGTACTATAAGTTGGACCTGGTTCAATCTGGCTTTTCAACGCAGCTGGCTTATTATTATCTTCTTCCTCTATGTATCCATTGTGTTAGGGCTGTAGTCACAAGCGGGATTGGATAACTTTACATAAAATTTGAAGGACTGGGGCTGGATGAGCTTTTTCTTTTTGCCGGTTCATAACTGACCCTATAGACCGTACTACAAATATTTTAGAAACTTCTAAGATCGGTATATCTTCGCTTAACTGGATGCCTATCATATATATAGGGGAGAGATTGCTTGTTGTTAGAGAACTACTTCGGTAGGCGGCTCAGCTGCTGGAGAAGGTTTACGATAACGGTGCACTAAGGTTTTGAAGTTGAAGGGCGATTGATATCAAGTTCAATACTATAAGTAGAGTCTAAGTCCAGAATATCAAAGGATTAAGCCGGAGTTGTATAAAAGCTGTAGTTGTCTGTAACCGCAAGCTTGACTCTGGAAAGCTATAATAGGATTGTATACTTGTCTTTGAACAGGGCTTTATAGATCAGAACCTGGTAGGGGGCTCTGACATTGTAAATTTATTTCATGCTTCTACAAGTTTTATTGCGTGACGTTCTTCTGTGTTCTTGCTCTGCACATATGGTGAGATACTTCAACAACACCACCATTCAACCCACTAATTGAAATCTCCATCTTCAATGTATCCCAGTCTCCGCGCTCGACATCGATCTTTTAATAAGCACGCGAACCACCATGCGTTGCTGCCGGGGATCTTTGATGACACTGATGGACAAGGGCACCTTTTCTGACCGTCTGGATCAAAGAAGACCTTGTCGGTCAATTTGGTGCGTACTGACAAAGAGCCACGCAGATGTCCTTTGTGTGTGCGGATGATCTGGGCTAGGTCTGGCGGGAGCAGATATTACAGCCAATTCTTACATTGGCATTCTTTTCATGTTCCTGGAAATTGACGTATGTAGCTCTGGAATTGTTTCTCTAAATCGTCACAAAAACAAGCTCTCAATTGTGCGCTGTAGTGTTGTTGTTGACAGCGTAATTCTAGGCATTCCAACAATATTTTCTGAGTCTGCATAACTCTGGAAGAAGTCGATAACAGATGTTTAGAATAGTATACCAGCTCTATTAGATACAGTTGTAAGTGGAAATAGAAGATTCTAAGCCCTGTTGGTACAGGGTTCGGTGCGCAGTACGGAGTACTGCACATGATCCAGATTAGTCTTTAGACTAGTTAAATGAATATACAGCAACCAGCTTTTAGCAGAGATAGCTAGTATATTAGCACTATGTTACTATCAACATCTTGTTTCAATATCTGTGACCAGTGCTCAGGCTGTGAGGTCTTGGAGAACTAATCCTATCTACACTTGGCGCGCTTCTTCAGTCATATCCCAGAGTACAAGCGTAATCTTAGCAAGAGATTTCTTTGTCTTTGTTTATAATACCAAACATCTTACTTCCTGCACAAAGGAGTATCTGATAAGACACCGCTTAATGCTGCGAGTTGCAGGTGAGATCACAGCAAGTACATTCATTCTCTGCCTTCTTCCTGTTACTCGTCACTTAATTGCTCCTTACTTGCAATATCTTTGTTATCTTGCGTGCGAAAACAAATCCAGACTCAAGGCTTCCCGCTATCTTTGTAGTGTTCTTAGTTATTCGACAATGCTACGGCGAGCATGGCACAGTGTGGTGGAAGCGATCACAGGCCGGGGTTCCAAGGTCTGGGAGAAACTCGCCAGACCGACCGTCGGGAGAGGCAAGACTCAGTGGCCGAAATCAGCAAGTGATTCGGAGAACCACGGGGTCCGCTTTCACTACGATGGCACCATCGAGGAGAACGGCTCGGTGTACCACAAGTACCAGGTGCAGCCCAATGCTGGGAAGACCCCCAGTTCGTGGAAAGACTGGAGAGATAGAAATGGGGGCACTCATGCCGTCATCGGGACGGTGAAAGTCAAGCAGGATGCGACGAGGGACGATGTTGATGAGGCGCTGAAATCCCTGGGGGAACAGCTTTGATGGAAGGCACTGTGAGTTGGTATCCTTTGCCCTAAACCTATCCGAGTAAAGTCAATTCTGGTCGGTGAAGTATATAATATGGCAGTAATTGTGGTCCGGCTATTGGCGAACGCTACCTAGTAGTGTTTCGCAACTTGTTGGTTTACAACCGATAAGGAGGTCCGAAGATCTGAGTGGGGCTATACATCTGAATGTATTCCACTCTTAAGCTTAGCCTTACAACTACATAGATTTTGAGATTGCGATGAGGGTTTCCCCCATCGTACCCAAACAATATACATAGTAGGCTTAGGTAGGTACTACCTTACAATACAATACTTATGGAGACAAACAGGTCAAAACAGGCAAGGGCTTATCAGACTGAGATTCGACAGCCATCATGCGAAGGACATGCGGAAACATGTTCTTCCGACACGGGATTACCTTGCTGTATTCATCTTCACTGGATTCTTGTTCATATCAATCCAGTTCGTAGCTATCCAGCTCGTATCTTCCCAGTATATATCTTATATATCTTTCGTTCCAGTATGTACATCCATCCAACTTGTCTGTCCGTCTCTCCAGCATCCACATCTACGACTCAAGTAATGAGACTTCGGTATACTTACCACATTTTCCGTTGCCTCACGTCATGGCTTACGACTACCTTCCTGACCAGCTCAATTACACCATAGGGAGATAATCAAGAGGTGGCAGAAATCCGAAAAGTTTGTTCTATAAGTGATTGAGAGGAACTGGACTCATAACGCACCCACGCTGTAAAAAGATTACACAAATTATGGTCCTTCGAGTTCTGGCCTCTGGATCACTAAGTATTTCGAGCAAGTTACAACTTAGCTAGGCAAGGAAGATTCTAGTATACGTTCTGGTCCTCAGCAAAAAACACCACAACATAAACCATCATCCAAACCAACCCAGCCCGCTCACCTCCAGATTTCCCTCCCCAATACGAACCTATATGCCCACCAAGCCCGCCCAAAATCAAACTCAAAAGCCAGACCGAGGATAAGGATTCCTCCCCCGCCCCGCAAGCACCTCCCCCACAAACTCCCCGAACCCCACCGTCCTCAGATCCGGATACAGCGCCCTGGCATCCAGATACCCCAGCTCCGCCGCCTTCTGGGGTGTATTCTCGCGGCGCACGTACTTGCTGCACCGATACTGCGCCAGGTACACCTGCGCCCGTTTCCAGAAATCGGTGGGATCCGCGGCCAGCTCCGCCAACGCTTGGTCGACGTCGCGAAGGGTTTCTTCCTCGGATTCCTGGCCCCCGCCTTTTCGTCAGCCCAGTATTCTACAATCAACGCATGCCATACCCCCAGCTCTCAAATCCACTCCAACCCCAACCCACCGGGGAGGCACAGAGGGGAAAAGGGAACATACATAACCCCTCCCAACACTCTCCCCCGAAACCGCCTCCACGATCCCAAAGATCTCCTCCTCGGACAACACCGCCGAGCACGTGTAAACGGACCGGTTGCGCGTGCGCGGGTCCGCGACGATGCGCGCCACGAAGCGGCCGATATCCCGGAGATCGGTGAGGATGTTGGGCGCGGTGCCGTCGCCGTGGATGGTGGTCGAGGGCACCGGGATGGCGTAGGAGAGGCGGCCGGAGGGGACGGGGGGGAGGGAGAGTTGGTACCAGTAGCCCACGTCGATGACGGTGTAGTCCATGCTTTGGGCGCGGAGTTCGGCGAGGATTTCTTCTTTCTGTTCCTGCCTGTTAATCGGGGTTGTTTTGGGGGGAGGGGTGGGGGAAGATCGGGTTGTATGTTTAACGGGATTCGGGAAATGGGTAGGTAGGTATAGAGGCCAAGTGAAAGCCAAGGGACACCCACCTCCTCCCGCAAAAGCATCGCTCCCCGCGGCGGGGCAACGGTCACCCACGAACTCGGGACGAAGCGCTGCACGCCCGCGCGTTTGGCGGCGCGCACGAGGGTCTTCTCCTGCGCGACGGTGGCCGGGCCGAGCGTACTGATCAGGATGTCGATGCCGGCTAGCGCGGGCACGAGGGCGTCCTCGGGGAGGTCGAGGTCCACGACGCGGTGGGACAGGTCGTCGCGCTGGAGGAGGGCTTGCACGGCGGGTTTGGGCAGGGAGGTCGGGCGGATGAGGAGTTCGATGTCCTTTGTGGTTTCGTTGCATGGTTAGCGGGTTCGAATACTTCCAATTCATGCACTTAATGGATAGGATGGATGGATGGATACAAATTGGTCGGCAGCTAGCATGGCCTCCAGGATGCTACCGCCTGTGTTGCCGGTGGCGCCGATCAATAGGACCTTTGGTCTGGACATGTTGTCTTGTTCTGTTAATTGGAATGGTACGATGCTGATGAGAATTGTGCATGGTGAAGGGGCAGACGAGTCTCGCCTTAAATATACAGACGTTGTCTCGGGGCTTGAGGTTGCTGACATGGGCTGTATACTTTGGAAAGTATAGTAGCTGGACTCCCATTGGCCGGTTCGTGAACAGCACCACTCATTATGCGGCATTTATTCCCGGCCCGATCTCACTTCCCGGCGTCACTCCCAGCATCCAGCATCACCTCCAGATGACCACGCCCCGTCAAACAAAGAACTCCGAGCCATCTACATTTACTGCAGAAGTCATCGGTGGCAGGCCTAGCAAGAATGATCAAACAATGGAGTTGATTCTCTATCATATATGAAAACAACCAAACACATACAGCGATGTAAAATAGACACGCGCCTAGAGATAATCATGTACCATAACTTTTATGGCCCCAGTGCACAGGAAAAATTCACAATGAAAAGAACAACAGTGTATGTATGTAATGAATATGTTGATCATCCCCCGCAACTGACTCATGATTCAATAATATGCAGTCTATGTCGAGGTGTTCCCACTCCTACTCTCCCAGGCCCTCTTGGCACCCTCCAGAAGACCATCCATATTTCCACTGTTCTCACACATGCTGCGGAAGAGACCATCCTCGCGGTTGATCAGCGTCCACGGGTGCTCGAACTCTATGACCTGACCATGGTCAAGCACCAGCACTTTGTCGTAGTCAATGATGGTTTGCAAGCGGTGGGCGATCGTGATGATCGTGCTCTCCCGGAGCTCGCGTAGCGTCTCCTGGATCTTCGAGTCGGTATTGTAATCAATCGACGCGGTGGCCTCGTCCATCATCAGTACCTTCGGGTTCTTGAGGAGGGCACGAGCAAGGCATAGAAGCTGGCGTTGGCCTTGAGACAAGTTGGACCCGGACTCGGAAACGGCAGTCTCCAGGTTCAGGAAGATGTTCTTGTTGTCTAGGACAGTACTGCTGGTGACACCATTTGCACTGGGCTCCGCAACAGTGCTAGTCGTTGTTGGTGTAGCAGTGCCCGAGGTTCCTGGGCCGATCAAATGGACGCGCCGGAGGGCGGTGAAGATCTGTTCGTCGGTGAAGAGATTGAAGGGATCGAGGTTGGTCCGGATGGTGCCCGTGAAGAGAGTAGGGTCTTGAGGAACGATAGTGATCGCTTCACGCAAGTCGCGGAGACCAATCTTGCTGATGTCCACGTTGTCGATGACGATGCGTCCTTTCTCGGCTTCAAGACCGCGGAACAGCGCAAGGGCAAGAGAACTCTTTCCAGCACCCGTACGACCGACAATGCCCACCTTCTCGCCAGGCTGTACCGTGAACGAAACATTCCGGAGAACAGGATCCAAGTCAGACCGGTAGCGCGTGGTATAGTTGGCAAACTCAACCGAGCCGCCACTGGGCCACTGAGCCGGCGGTCTGGAGTCGGCAATGACAGCATCAGCCTCTTGTTCCACATCGAGGTACTCCTTGACTCGCTCCACCGAGTTCATGTTCTGTTGGACCTCAGAATACAGCCGGACGAGCCAAAGGACGTTGTCGGTGAACGTCACCGCATATGTCAAAGAAAGTCCAGCAGCACCGGCATCAACCTTCCCGACATTCGCAAGGACGAAGATAGCCGTGAAGAAAGAGACCAGAGCTCCAGTGACGTCAACGCGCAAGGCAAGCCAGCGGTTGCTAGCCCAGAGATAGATATGAGGACGGTTGTAGGCATTGATCCGACGATGGTTATCAACAATGAATCGCGGTCCGTCACCATAGGCACGGATGGTCACAATACCATTCAAGGTCTCGCCAAATTGCTGATACAGCGGGCTTCTCTGTACAGATTCCAGTCGTTTCAAGTCCCGAGAAGAGTTCACGTAGACAGCACCAAGAGCGACGTAGATCAGCGTGATGAAGATACCAGCAATCAAGAATCCGGGGGTGATGACCGAGATCAGAATCACGATCATGATGACAGACGCGAGACTGTGAAGCATGCCAATGGCGACAGGAGCAACTTCCTGGTCAACGGCCTCGACATCCTTGGAGAAGCGGTTCATCAATTGGCCGAGAGGAGTCGAGTCAAAGAACTTGAACTTAGCATGGATTACGGACCTCAAGAGACGTTGATGGATGGTGAACGAAGCATGCAGAGAGCCCCAGAAAAGGACGGCTTCTCTGAGCAGGGAGATCAGGACGAAGGAAAGACCCAACAGCGCGTAAACACCAAGGTAGTACGTGATGTTCACATCGTTGTCAACCCCGTCATTCTTGCGGGTGCTGAATTGGGGTGCGCTGAAAACCGAGGTACGGGGAACACCGCCAGCATTGAACGAGGGCATTTTGAGATTGGCCACCGCCGCATAATCACCAGCATCCTCCTGTCCAGCGCCCTGGGTCTGATACGAGTTCGCCCATTGCCTGATCCAGATGTTGGTAGAGACCGATCCTAACTGTTGCAGACAGAACACTGAAACAGCGACAAGCCAGTAGGACCAAGAGCCCATTGAAAGCAGATACATCTTAATCGTCGACCATTTGATGCTGCCCGTCGTTTTAGACTCATTGAGTTTGGACGGGTCGTCTTTCCCTTCTGAGATCTTCGCGGTGGTGCCATTGACTGCCGAGCCATTCGCGTGGTTATCGTCTTGTTGTTCCTCGGCATCAGAGGGTCTGCGAGAAAGAC